GGGGCGGGGATCGGGGAGAAGGGGGCGGGGATCGGGGAGAAGGGGGCGGGGATCGGGGAGAAGGGGGCGGGGATCGGGGAGAAGGGGGCGCTAACTCAGCCACACCAGAGCCACCGCCACATGTGGCTTTCATTGAGAGTTCAGTACAGCCCTTGAATTAGAAATAAAAACATTTTAAAGACCTTACTTATCCATGCTAGATAAGGATGGGGAGGCTGGACTGAGAAGCTGGTTCGGATTATTCCTCTGTTGGTAACAGATGGGTGCTGATGAGCGTCAAAGTGACTAGAAGTCATTCATTCTCTGTGGGAGGGCGTGTCGCCAGGCAGCGGGGAGCGGCACGATTTCGGCGGCGAGAGCATGAAAATGAAGTTGAAGCCCGTCAATGAGCAGACGCGCTTCAGTGGCGACCCGTTGGAATGTAGAAATGCTCAATTAAAGAGAGTTCCACAGGACACATGCGTGGAAACTTATGTTCCAACCAAATGCTGATCAGAACATGGCGATGCTGCTTAAACGAAACGTTCCAAGCACTGTGAAACAGAACACGTCTCAACATGGCACTTTTACGCTGTAGACATGGTAAAAATATTCGTGTTTAGGCAGCATAAAACTACGCACTTAAAAATCCCATGTAGACATTCTTATACTGCGTCAACGCGGTCAACACATGTTAAAAAGGTCAGTATTGAGACATACCTAGGCTAATACTTTTTTGTTCAAGGGCAAAAGTATCAGTCTGTAATGCATAATATTGGTTACTGCATGATAATATTTGAGCTTTTAATCATAGCCATTGAAATTTAAATTTTATGAAAATTTCAACGAAGAGGCGCATTGTTTTGTCTGATACACTAAATTTATATAATTAAACCGTGTTTGATACAGAAACAATTTTTTTTTTAAATTACGCATAGACCAGGTTGTCAAAGTATCGGTGATCCAGATGAATTGGTGGAGTGCATACTAGTTTTGGCACCATATAATGAAAAATAATGTTAGTCGTCAGTAACACTAACGTTACTTATTTATAGCAGTAGTGTTTGTCATGTGCTACAAGTTTATTTGCCTTGTGGGCCGCTTCAGGAAGTTTGCTAGACCTAGAACTGTGAACGACCTTGTCCCCGCCCACTCAGACTGTACGACCTTTTCCCCGCCCACTCAGACTGTGAACGACCTTGTCCCTGCTCACTCAGACTGTGATCGACCTTGTCCCCGCCCACTCAGTCTGTGATCGACCTTGTCCCCGCCCACTCAGACTGTGATCGACCTTGTCCCCGCCCTCTCAGACTGTGATCGACCTTGTCCCCGCCCTCTCAGACTGTGATCGACCTTGTCCCCGCCCACTCAGTCTGTGATCGACCTTGTCCCCGCCCACTCAGACTGTGAACGACCTTGTCCCCGCCCACTCAGACTGTGATCGACCTTGTCCCCGCCCACTCTGTCAATGATAGAGCCAGTGATTACTGGCGTCACGGAGAGTGCGGCCAGAGTGACCGCTGATGCTCCCGCCACCTGTGGTTTGAATGTACGGTCAGAAAAACAGGCCTGCCAGGATACTTCTTTGGGGGACATTTGGGAATAAGGCCGGAAAGGGAAGAAAAGAGGAGGGATGACGGGGAGGGAAGGAAGGATTAGGAAAGGAGAACAGAATTGGAATGAAATGGCATGAAAAGGGAAGGAGAGAATGGGAAATGGGATAGTGAAAAGAGTCATGGAAAGAAATGAGGAGGGAGTGAAATATGGATGGAAAGCAGAAAAGGATATGAAAGGGAAAAATAGGAATGAGGAGAAAGAGGGGAAGTGGAAAGTGGCAAGTGGAAAAAGAAAAAGGGGGAAAGGAAGGGAGGTGAAAACAGGAAGAGAAACAGGCCATTTCATGGAAGAGCCCAGCAGTGTAGGCCAGGAGGTGGAGGGCAATAAGCACCTTTCATGGGGGCTGCACGAGCCCCACTTCCAGTTATTTACAGTCCATCCCAGATGGCACCTCTCCACTCTGAGCAGGCAAGACAGACCGTCACTGGCTCCACTTCAATACCTGAGGGCGCCACCAGACCCCAGGACAAGCACTGGATTCGATTACACCTGCAGATTATCCTCCAGGGGCATGTATGCAGACGCTGTCTGAAAACGCCACACGTCCGACGAGCAGATCGGCCGACTGTACCCAGGGTGATGAGCGATGCTAATTAACAAGCAGCACTAATGCGCTTCAGAGAACCTGACTTACGCATGTAACAGTGACAGGGATCAAAAAGCCCTGGAGATCCACCTGAAAATCCCAAGTCTAAATTGGGTCGTACCATCCCCTGCTGTGAAAATGGGTGACTGCCAACTGTGATCTCAAGCCATGTCCACATCTGACCAGCAGACCCTAAACCAGTGTGGTAAGGACTGTTCATCTGCCAAATTGGTGGGGGGTGGGGTAATTACTACAGTACTGCAGAATAAGATGTCCAGCTGAGGGGAAATAACACAGAGAAAAGGCCATCGCTGCGGGCAAACTCACCTTAATACTGCCTCCGATAAGGTCAGGTGGTTCCTCGTCTGTTTCCAAGGCGACGTTGATGGTGGCAAAGGGCCGGCTGGCCATCTGCTGCATCTCGCGCAGGAGTTGCTGTGGAGAAGAGAAGCTCTGTGAGGGACACAGTGGTCAGCTAGGGATGTGCGGGCCTCCCTGCCTACCACCACCAACTGGAAGTACCACACAGAAGGAACACAAGGGGCACTGAACTTCATCAGTATCTCTAGTCTACAGAAACAAGCCAACCTATGATGATGCCCCCTTTGATTGGCTACTGCATCCCTCTGTCAGCCTATCATTCCACGGCTAGTTTCCACATGATTTACTCTTTAGGAGACACGCCCCCCCCCCCCCTTCTTTGCTCTGTCTCTCACTGCAATCATGATGGGTCTTCACTCCTCAATTATTCTGCCTCACAGAGCCCCCCTCCCCTAATCAGCTGTGAGCTCACAGTATCTGCCCCCTCCCTAAAACCCTGGACCCTGCCCACGTGTGGTAGCCGCCTAGCAGCACATGTGCACAAGCTCACAGACGCACTGGAACGATGGAACACCTGGAGCTTTGAAATTAGCACTGATGGGCTTCTTCCTCCGGAACATACCGCAGGGCACTTGGCAATAACCCCCCCACCCCCCTTCGCCCACATCTCTCAGCACTCCACAGGAAAGCTTCATCTGAAAATAGCTCAGGGGTGGGCACGCCCTGACTGCTGACATTCATCTCCGTGTCGCTTAATACTCAGCCACCTTGTTTTACCTGTGCACGTCTGTGTGAAGGTATAGTAAATATTTGAGCACCTGTCTCCCCAAGGAAACTCGTAAATTAACAGCAGGTGACTAAATGCAAGTAGGGTGAGTTTACAAAACAGGACTCTGTCATTTCCCTCCCTGTACGGTGCACTCTGCACAGGGAAAGGTCAGGGGTCAGACACGTTTACTGATATTTAAATAGTGTGCAACTAATTCTCTTGCAGTTGTGAGGAAAACAAGGCAAAATGCCGCGTAAACAAAAGTTTGAACTGAAAAATGTTCCATCTGAGATGAGAGGCTAACAAACTATTAGCATTTTAGAATGAGCAGAGCTTTCAGAGGCAGCATCGCCATGAACTGATCGGACATCAGAGCATCAACAGAATGACTATCCAGCTGAGAGAGCGGGTCATGGGAAACTCACAATACACTATTACACACACGCCACGTAAATACGTAGTCCCAGACAAGCAGTACAAGAAAAAGTGGATGGAAAAACTGAGAAATAATGGAAGAGAAAAAAAACAAAGGGTAAGCAATATAAATTTTAAAAAGCAGTGTTATATGTGGAAGAGCAGCACCAAAGGTCACTATGCAGTACTTTTGAAAGGCAGGTGTAAAACACGTGTTCAACGCACACACGCTCGCACGCACCACATGATTAACTACAAAACTATTCAGTCTGCGCTATAACCAGCCTAAATGCAGAAACTAACTTCTCAAGATGCGGTTCCCATTGAATGCATTAACCCAGATAGAGTGAGGAACACTCCATGTTAACAAAGCGCTACCATGACGACTGAGAGGTAAGGAAGCAGCGCTGCAGATCCTGCGTGGCCCGGCCCTGCATTAAGATCGACTCGTGCCTGACCGCAGCTTTGCAGGCACTTCTGCCACTTCTGCTCTTTAAGAGCAGCCAGCGCCTTTATGGCCTTCGGTTCAATTAGCTGCGTTTTGCACTGTTACCCAGCTGTACCCAGGAGTGTCAGAGACCACATTTGTAGCATGGTGCCTCTCTGTCCCTGCCAGATGCTTTGATGAAAGCTGTACGACACCAGCAAGACCGGTTTGCTCGCCGAATGATCAGCCCACATACACAAACAGCATGTCATGTGGATCCAGAGACAAACAATTTTGTCCTGGCATCACCTTCATGATAAATTAAACTGGAGCAATGGGTGACACCATGGCCTCCAGCTGCCCATCTAAATTTTGACTGCGCTCCCAGGAATGACCACCCCCTTCCCAGGCAGAAGACCTGGCCAGCTCTCCCGTAGCCACGGCAGAGCGGCTGGCTCATTAATCAGCCCCTGAGAGGCTCAGCGTGCAGGGCTCTCCCCCTTGGCCTCAGGCAGCCTAACGCTATGCTCCCGTAAGCGTGTCCGATGGCCGGATACAAGCCTTTCATTCTGGCCGGGCCGAGTGGGTGAGAGGAGCTGGTAAAAAGGTCATAAAGCCAGCTGCAGATTTCAGAGTTCCCGTTTCTGCCCTCAGGTCTTTCCCGCCCTTAGAAAGTAGCCAAGCTGAATCTTGCACCTAAGAACTGATGAGCCACAGATAGTCCTAATGCACTACTCAAAGTGCTTTAAATGTGAGGATTTTTAAGCATAAAACCCCTATGGTCACTCTACAACTAATACATTCAGCTAGCCAAAGGTACACAAACATGACACTCTGGCCAACAGCAACACAGTGAGTCGAATCGGGTCTAAATGACAGAACCAAACTTCCTGTGGATGGTGGAGAGGGGGCTACAGTGGCTGCTACAGTGTCTCCTGTGAATGCATAAGTGTGTACACATGTAGGTGAAAGTAACTTCAGGAGAAAACATGTAGCTCCCGCCAACCCGACAGATCAACTATGCACAGAGGACGGAGAGGGCCTCTGAGAATGATGTAGAAGCAGATTACAGGGGCATGTGAAAGCAGACAAATCCTCACCCATTTGAAGAACAGAACGACACACGACCATCAGCCCAATGCCCCTAGAAATCTAACCGGATCACGATGACAATGAAGACGGAACCATTACCACACATACTGTTTCGGTAGGACAATCGGAGAGGAGAGATCTTATGAAGCATATAATGCAAAAAGGTGTGAATTTACTTACTAGCACAACTCATAATGAGAGGGGAGCTAATTTTTCAAAAATGATGCAAACTGACATCCAACATTATAGGTGTAAACAAATCAGATATGGACATCTATGCCAAAGCTGTGTGCCAATTCACAGCCCTCAGCAGCTCATGAGCTTAAGCTGACATAAACAGGAATAGTACTGAAGGCGTCTGTCTGTGATGTCTATTTCACAAGATCGCATGTGAGTGAATAAAGTAACATTTGCAAAGTTTAACATTTTCACTGCTCAAGCAAATGGCATCACATTTTATCCACGTTTGTGGATAAAATACAAACTACAAACTACAGAGCAGAAACACTAAGTTGTGATATTATCTGAAAAATAAATGTTTTTGGTACAATATATTCAACTCAAGTGGGACTTTCTTCTTTCCTTTTTTAATTGCTGTGTCAGCCATACACAAGTGTACAGTGGTATGAGACGTCATTCACCCAGGACCATGGTGCAACACAAGACACATGGGGGGCTGTTTGTACACAATTACAGGGGTGGGACACAAAGTACATACATAAACATGAACGGAGCGTGGTTTGTAAGAAATATCTGTACGTAAAAAATATCTGTACATAATATAGCAGAATGTAGCAGCAGAATATAAATATGGTAGGTAAGCTACGTAACAGATAGAATGATGCATGTAACAACATGCCATGAGAGGCAGGAACCCACCAAAGAACAACGTGATATAGGAGGCAGGAACCCACCAAAGAACAACGTGATATAGGAGGCAGGAACCCACCAAAGAACAACGTGATATACACGGGTAACAAGTAAAGTGACCAATGACAGGGGCAAAACAATACCTGACCGGCGAGAGGCTATAGGCGACGTCAAAGAAAAGAAATAAGCAAAAGGGCTAAATAACCTACCTGACCATGTAAATCCCCATAGAAGAACTACTCTGTCCTACCCAAAATACAGAGGTAACGCCTGGGGGCTTGACCGGGAAAGACCATGGGATTCAGGAGCAGGGAAACCCATTACATTTGACAGTCGTGATATTTAGGGGATTGTAACGCTTGCTCCTCTACTTAACTAAACATGGCAGAGCCCTTCTCACAGTGGGCCTAGATACCATTCCATGGTAGCAGTTCAGCCTTCTAACGCCTGGTTTCACCTGGAGTACGTGTGGAACTGGTTCCTCATAAGGACTGCTCATAATGGAACTGGCCACCCACGTCCATCGTGGTAAATGAGGCTGGTTCCACTGAATTGCATTCTTCGTGGAGTGCAGCAGCACACAGAATGACGTGTCTGCATGGGCCCGGATTTATAATGTTCTCTACCGTGGACTTATTTATGGACCCAGGATCTATGCACTGACTCAAGGGGCACAGTTTACAGTACCTTAAACACGGTGATGTAGACAGTTAATGGCTTATATAATCTTTAGTCAGATACTCGCCAGTGTTTCTGTACAAACAATAGTATCAGGTATGTGCATGATGCGCTTGCATGCATTTGCCACCACTGTGAGTGAAAAGTTCCTACGTCCCTCAGTTACTCCGCATGCGTACATATGGATAACCCAGCATGTGGGTTAAATTACCTGGATCGTCGCTTATTTCACTGCTCATCTATGTGACTGACAGCTTGGGTGCAGCTCTCATGCAGTCTTCTCTAATATCAGCAGATCATCCATCTATAACCAGCATACAACCCCTGCTTGACCTATAACCCCCACAAACACAGTCAAACATTTCCCCAGTACTATGGGGCCCAGAGAGGTACCATATGAAAGCAGACAGCAGCAGCAGCAGAGGACAAAACAGTGAAAGTACAATCTCAAAAAGACATGGGCAAAGGCACTACGTGCTTCCCTTTAAATGAAGTGCACATAATAGAATGCAGTCTAAATGGACCCCGGATGGTGACACTAATCCTCAGTGCTGGAGACAGATCTGCCCAGCGCATTTCCGTACCAAATTAACCTTGCCAGGGCATGCAACACATTTCACACATTCCATTTCCCATATTTTTAGTCGGACCCTGAGGAGTAATGAAAACAGGCGCAGACCCCAAAACGAATAAAGGTGCAGATTTTACAGGTGCGTTTATGGTGGGTTAATGGAATGCTATTTACCTTGTATCAAAGAACCAGTGGTGGGAGGCAGAAAGTGAAAGCTCCGAGTATCCAGCAGGGGGAGCCGGCAGGCACTCTTCCCCAGCGCGTGGGGAACGCATGCAATGATGCGCCCGTAA